AACCTATTGCAATAAAACGGCAATTTCATACTTTAACCCCTAATATACATTCAATGTTGGTAGAGTTTTATTTACTCGTAGAAAAAGTATAGTATGTAATCATTACATAGTAAGGGCTTAAAATCTCGTACCTATTACTAAACACGGTACTCGACATTAAGAGTCCTCATTGTGCCATGACTGCATAAAATAATATTGTGAATTGTAATGTACATTGAGCGTTTACCATTGTACTTTGCTGGGTCTTAGGAGTCTATAGGAAAAAATATTCAATTGTACAATTTGCACAAGCACATGTACAGAACTGTGTAAAAAGAAAAATAATAAAGACTGGTGCGCTTCCGTAGTCGATTTTCCGTCTAGCCATATAAGATTGATTTATGCTTTCAATGATTTATATGCCGTATCTTAATGCATAGAAGTCGGTATTACAACTAAGTTTTGATTATAATAAAATATATTCATCACTTTGATTAAATTTCTGACAGCATGCATTAGGTCAGAGAGGAGTATGTGAATGGCTTATAACCCTATTTATTTACCAATCTCGTAAAAAAGGAAATCAATCTATTTACTTGGACAATAAGAAAACATTAAAATTTTGTGAATTTCACAATCATATTTTAAGGTAAGAATTATCACACACTAAGTTACTGTCAGCACATATTGGTTCCAGGGTGTGAGTGTTTGAAAACCCTGTTCGTAGAGCCTGTTTAGAACAGAAAATCGCTGTTTAAGACAGAAAGTCAATTAACCATGAACTTGACGCTGAAGTATGCGCTGAAGCGGTAAACAAGTCGTGTGCTATCTTTACGTAATGATCTTTGTAGTAGTGGTATGGAAAATGGGTCTCATATCATCATCAACACATTTATGTATTTATTTATTAGATACGCCAGCTGAAATACTCTATTAAACATGAACATAAAAACATCGAATATATAACCAGAAATAGAGACGAAATAAGGGCCATCCATACCTGGCAACTCATCAGGCAAATGGGCCTTATATCACTTTTAAATATCAACTCCCGTTTGTGCTGAAATCACGAATTAGAAAATTGAAATAGTACAGCGCCAACAACTGACCTGCGTGACGTCTCCGTATATTTCAAAAATATTCTGTATTTATTGTATTATAGATAATAAATATCTGTAACAATGGGGAGCTGATCCATTCGGTGATGTGGGAAAAACAGCAAAACATCTAACTACAAAACAAACGGAATCACATTCGTCGGTAATAAAAATCGTCCATTATTAGCAAACGCTCAAGTTAAACTGGTCGATTTGAAGTGAAACAATTGACGACACCCATCAATTCTTTCGAATTCGGGTTGGCCAATCGGAGCGCAGTTGTCACCGTAATGATTTGGCAGAATAGTTTTCAAACAAATTAAATGACATTTCGTCTCTATTTCTGGTTATATACTCGATGATAACATAAAATAACACTGCAGAAATTACTCGAGTGTAAACTCAATAATAGGCAAACAGCACATAATATAATATCTTATCAGAAGCGTTTCCTGTGTGTAATATGTATTATACGCCCCACTGCTGGGCACGGGTCTCCTCTCAGGCTTATTGTATACAAAATCGTATTAGTAATTACACTACACATTGTCACGGTCAAGATATGCACTTGGTCAATTTAACTCACCTCCAACCCAGGATTGTAGTATCCACTGAGGTACTTATCGCTGATGCTAACGAGGCACCAGAAAGCCTGCACAGCTGGCATATGCATTAGGAGGAATGCTGCCACCGGCGCTTGTGCTTGGAAGTATCCCACCTTTGGATTTAGTACTGAGTACGCTTTCAACACAGAGAATAGTTCTTGTTGTCTGGAAATAAGAAAGATTTAATAATATTAATAACATACTACATATAACTACCTCCATGGCTGAACGGTGACCATACTGGTCTGCCACACGGAGGCCCCGGATTCGATTCGCGGGCCGAGAGAAATATTTATATGGTTTACATTTATTTCTCTCGTGAGTTTGGGTGTAATTTGTGGTTGTCTATGTATCCATGGCACCCGCGACACAGAGTTTAGTGCGGGGCTATGAGTGTGTGCGTTAATATTATTATTATCAAGAATATATCGCACTGCTGTTACAATAGTGTTCTAAGTCAAAATACGTGAAATTCAAGATTATGCCATTTCTGAACGTAAAATTGGTTTCTCTACACGTCAATAAAATTGTCATTACAATATTGTAAGAAACCAAGAAAATACATCTACTTAACCCAGAATGAGATAAACGTTTTGTGACTTACGTGGTCTCAAACTAGGCAATTCCTTCTACCATGTGACGATGCGATCTCCTTCATTGTCATCTCAGTTTTTATCACCCGCTTTTCGGACTTCTGGCCACTTACTTTGAAATTTTGAATCGTTCTCTAATTCCTTTCGTTATTCTTACTTTGATTCGTTACGTCATCAATCCCATCAAAATTCTTAAAGCGAGAGGACGTGCTCATGAAGTAACCTCATTTAAAACCCTAACTTCGCGTGATTTACTTCTTTTTCATCATTAGAATACGTACTTATAGGCTCTTTTGAGGTAAGTAGACTGTTCGTAAGACTGTTTAGGGAGTGTTTTACACTGTTATACCTTAGATAATACAAAAATGCAATGATATAAAAATATCATGGCATTTTTGTTACAGCCTTTTGTTCTTTCATACTCTACATCTAATAAATTTATGTAGACCGAACCCACGGAAGAAAAACAACAACGGAAGTGCCTTAAGCCTCGATTACTATAGGAACTGCTAAAAACGCGCACAAACAAATGATAAACACTACGAAATCTTGACAATGATTGGTCATAGTTTCTAATTTAAAAAGATGTAACAAATTATGGATTAAATTTGTATTGAACGGATATTTAATTATTTTTTGTGAAATTACTCCACTAGTTTGTTATAATTATTAAAACAAAGAAAAGAAAAATTCGTGAGGTCCGTGGCTTAGTTGGCATAGCGGCTGGCACGGTTTGCTAGAAGACATCAGTTCGAATCCGGCCGGATCGAAGAAACTAAGTGTTCTATCTTTGTATTAATAATTATAAGAAACTAGTGGAGAATTTCACAAAAAAATAATTGAATATCAATTCAATACAAATTTAAAATAAATTATGTAACAAAAATGGCATAAGAGTGTGCGCAATGCTATTACGGAAGCCATCTTCCACTCAGCTTATTACGGTCTCTTTGTAAGTGCTACGACGCTGATTTTCAGTGGTTCTAGTAACAGCAACACACTACATAGGTACCATACGTGTGACAAGGGCGACTGTGTCGTATTGGTTTTCCTTTTTTTGCGCAGTGTTCATAGAAACACCGCATTATAATAATTGTAAGAGCCAATCGAGTCACGGTCAATGCAGGAAATGTTATTGCAAAGAGATAAATAATTTGAAGCACATAAAGCTAACGTAATTGCTACGTAATTTTGTGTAATAACAAGTTCCTTGCGCACTTTGAAATGGTAATAATTATTGACGTTTCGACACCAACGGTTGTCACGTCATTAGAAGTCTGTACTGCTACATAGTGAGCTCTATACTTCGGACTTAGAATCAATTTTACTTTAATTCAAATTCAAATTCAAAATAATCTTTATTTCATAGGTAAGCGTAATAATACACTTGAAATCGTCACAATGGTTAAACTCTACCGCTCATTCGTAAGGCAGATTCCCCTGAGAAGAATGAGCAAGAAACTCTAGGGGTTGCTCTTTGTAAATAACATTTACAATATTTTTTTTATTTGAAACATTTAAGTGGCATAGAGTTACTCTTTACTAACTGCCTTATCAGTATTAGAGATTTGCAATCTTTATTTAAAATAACTACTAACATATTTTATAATTCTGTTACTTATTTATATATGGATTTGTGTTGTCCGAAAATACGTAAATTATTATTATTTATGCATCGTATGGATAACGTTATTTAGCCAACGTAGCTCTATGTAGCCAACGTAGAGCTGTGTAGCCGACGTAGCGCTATGTTGCCAAGATACTGCTGCTTTGCACGGATAGTCTTTGTCTGCTGGAGCTACCAGTAATTTTATCAGATAAAGTTTTTTCGAAGGATGTTATGTAATATGATACCATTTGACGGGTCGAACAAGTAGTGTGCCCGGTGGTAAGCTACACGCCTGTCCATAACAGTTGCAGTGCCACTCCGAGTTTTAAATCACAAATATCTGAGGGGCACTGCCACTGCGCCCATCACCCTGAGACATAAGTTGACAAGTCCCATGTGTCTGTAATTTCGCCAGCACTTACCCTTCAAAACCGGAACGCAGTAATGCGCACATTACTGCTTAGCGGCAGAAATAGGTAAAGTGGCAGTTATTCCATGGACGAATTATTTTATCTCTACTGCTACTAACAACCGTAACCTGCTACAAACAAACGTAATCTATCTCAACAAGTAAATAGCGTAGGATCTATATAGCACAATACCTAGTGGTTTGAATGAGAAATTTGTTCTCCGAGTCACTTAACATCTCCAAATATCCACCCTTCATCACTAAATACGTACAGTTAGTTAGCAGTAGGGCTGAAAAAGTTCGTCCAGGGAACTGCTACCGTAAAGCAGTAATATGAGCATTATTGCGTTCCGGTTTTGAAGGGTGCTGATGAAATTATATACACATGGGATTCGTCAACTCATGTCTCAGGGTGACGTGTGCAGTGACAGTATCTCTCCGATCGTTGTGATTTTTAAAACAAACCATTGTTTATAGGTCTAAGTTAGTTTGAAAAAAAAAACATACGAGATTTAGATCCGAAAAACAGTTCGAAAAATACTCTTTATTGCACATTAAAAATTACAACTACAACTCAGAACAGTAATGTAAGTGTCACGGAGTAAAGTATTGTACAATAGGCGACCTTATTGCTAAGTAGCAACATATTCCAGGCAACCTTAGAATAGACATTTAAGAGCTAGAAAGGGTTTTATTTGTTAATAGTTACATATCAAACACATCAAAAGTGTCTAGGGACCAACGTATTTTTTTTAAATATTAGATTACCCCATTAAAATGGAATAACAATATTTATATTTTATTAAATTATTTATTTATTTACAAAATTATGAAATCGATCAGAAAAAAACTAATGTTATTAAAAAAATCATTAAAAAAGTAACTGTATGTAATTGGCAAAAACGGTGTTTGATCCGAGCTCAATTATTCTTTTGTTTATAATTTAATAATGTATCCACCTGTATTATTAGTACTTTTTACCTGAAACACAGGATTCTCTTAGTAATTTAGTATTTTACATTGATTCGCATAATTAGTCTTTATTTATTCCTTTGTACAATAAGTTATTCAAGAAATAATTTTATTTATTTATATACATTTACTTTTGATGAGTGTAGTTTCATTTCCAATTACATTATTTATATTTATAAAATATAAATAATGTAATTGGAAATGAAACTAGACTGTAAATTATATTGCAGTACACCTGTGGCTAACATGATCAGCCAGCTAACTGCGAAAGGCGAAAAACATATATGATTCAAAGAAATAAATTAGCAAGATGAAGAAAAATGAAGCATTGTTAACATACCCAAGTCCTTCTTCTCTAATGAACATTTCATGGTACGGGAACTGCCTGTGAAGGTCCTTCCTGATATCGTCCATGCATTTGGGGTCTCCAGGGGCTTGTAGCAGTTCTTCGTAATCGTTAGGGTGTCGTTGTAACAGCAGCTGGCCGCCGCAGAGGTACAGCCATGCTTTCGGTCGGACGGATGCTGGTATGCCTTTGGAACAAGACGTAAACCCATTTATAATGACCTCATACAGGATACTAAAAACCCGACCTCAAAAATTCGTGGAATTACATCTATTTGCCAAATTTTACTGAAATCGGTTACCGGAAAGTGCGCGAAATCGGATTCATCCTGTAGTTTGCCACTTTAGTGGCGGAATATTTTCTTCAAATTCAAATGGGATCTCTAATGAGGTACCCTCTTTCCAACAAAAAAAGAATCACCAAAATCGGTTCACAAATGCCGAAGCTATCGCATAACATACATACAAAAAAAAACAATCGTATTGGGAACCTCCTACTTCTATTGAAGTCGGTTAAAAATTAAGAAGTAACTTGTGAATTCTTAAATGGTAGCTGGTAATGGTTGTTTTTTTTTTTAGAAGTAAATTAGTGCTCATTTGACCTCCATCTCACCTGATGGAAAGCGGCGATGAGGTCGAAAATGTAGCACGCACACTTAAATAGTCCCTATTCACTCTCGCCTTGAAAAGACCCACTTTATGGCGTTCGGGCACAGATTACTTAATAGTAACAGATACATCACTCTCATACAAAATCGAAGATACCTACGCTATAATAGCCTACTGAAATGACCAATGACATGAAGCGCTCACTACAAGGACAAAGGAACCTGAGCAAGAGCTCGGAGAGTGCGCAGTAGTGCGAAGCCGTAAATGAAAGATTTGTATGAGAGCTTGCGCCGACGTCGGCGCACTCAGCGGTAGGCACTTATCCCATAACCTTGAGCGAGTGACGGAGCCCTGGTTCGGGGAACAAGTCTGCAGGCAGGGAAGTCCACTCCTTTGCCGTTCGCCATATAAATGTGGAAGCGAAAGGCTTCGTGCGAATCTTTGGAATATCCACAACATAGGCGTGGAACCCCAGCCTATGTCTAGTCTCACGATGATGGAAAGGAATGAAATGGAATTAATTAATCTCCGTTGACTGACAGAGTTGTAAACAAGATAATTCTGGTACGTGGCGTAGTGCCAATATTCTATGAACAGATATTATATAGCAATAATTTTGCATCTAATAATATAATAGTAATACCGCTATCTAACTTAAAACATTTAAAAAACCACTAAGAAGTATATTTATATCTCAATTTTTGAAACCTTTCTTTATAATCAAAATAGCGGTATCTCAAAAAATAGGTATAATGGTACATTTTATGGATAATGTAGGTATGTCAATGAATCTATTAGTCAAAAATACGCATAAATAAGTTGAAGGTGCGAAAATACAATTTACAAAAACTCGATTTTCTCAAAACTTCTTCCAATTGAGATAGCGCTTTTCGGCTATAAGGGCAGAATATGGAGATGGAAAGGACGAAGTCTCAGCTAGTCTTGTTTTTCTGAGTTCTCTGTCGGAAATTGTCGAAACAATTATCATCATTAATCTAACTTAAAACACACGTTTAATACGAACGCTGTGCAGAAGCGTGCTGGCTAGTTTGGTGCAACCCTAATTTGCAGGTACATTTTTTTAAATATAATTTCTTATGAAGTATAATAATTATCAAAGAAAACTGGAGCAAGCATGTTACTTTATAAAAGATTAATGTTTTAGGTCGTTCAAGCTCATTACAATTTACATAACACATTGGAAAACATTAACCACTATGTTGGGATAAACAAACTTATCTATATAAAAGCGTCGCGCCAAAGTAAAGTAGAAGAAAATAATGATTTATTTCTTTTGACTAAGAACAACACAAGAGACAACTTTGAGACGAACCAGGCAGGCGTATAGCTTACCACTAGGCGCACGACATGTTCGTCCCGTCACTCGATATTATAAAAAAAAACCACCAGCACCTAATAACCCAATAGGTGAAAACGTAGGAGTATATAAAGAACAAGAGCATGCGTAGCCACTTAACATTGAAATTCAACCCTATGACATTTGTGATAAGAGTGTTTCGAAATCCAAAGTGTCAATAAACCGTGGCCGCGTGACCTGTAAAGACCCTGAAACAAAAATAGATCAGAAAAAAATATTTCATTTCCAAAGTGTCAAGTTTGATGTGCTCTTGCCTACACAATGTATTTTTGTGAAGTCGGAACACGGACACGAACAAATCTCCAAAGAGAACACTATCAATCCTTTTAAAGTTTGAACGCGCGCTTGCGGAATATCAATTGCGATGAACAACAAGAACGATTTCTCGTTGGGAGAATAAACTGAGTTGTAACTAGCAACTGGAGCTCGCAAAACTGATTGCCGATGGAACATAAATGGTGCTTCAATGCACAAACTTTACTATCGATTTTGACGTCTAAGTTTGGTAATAGCCGCAGGCAGGTATTTCTTGGCATGGTCGCCAGAAGATGTACGCGAGTTGTCTAACAACGTTGAATCAGTTTGTAGGAACGACAGAGATTTTATGTAAAGTTGTAAGCGAAAGAAGTATGTCAGGTCGAAGCTAGGGTAAAGTTGACTGCTTATCCACACGTTTACCTATTTTTATTTTTCTATTGATGCACTGCATGATGATGCCCCAATGGTGATAGCGGAATACAGTGCAATGCTTTTTGGCAAAACTCACACTGAGTTAGGACCTTGTTGCTTGCTGCAGCACACACAAGTTATTGTTATCTGATTAACTAGGTATAAGATGTTTGCTATGGTCTGTTTTGTGTCTATTTCTCCTTATAATTATTTCATGTGCTTGTGGGAAGACAATAAATGTTTTATATATCTATCTATCTACTTTATCGGTAAATTACGGACAGTGTGCGACGGAATTGTACGATTTATTCCGCCTTCCCGCTTCCATCATCGGGGGAATAGACGTAGTAGGCTGGGGTTCCAGCCCTATGCTATGGGTATTCCAAGGATTCGCACGAAGCGTTTTGCTTCCACATTTATATGGCGAACGGCTATGGAAATCCCCAGCCTGCAGACTTATCCCCTGAACGCTGTAACTTGGGCCTTGTCATGGCGAGAGTGAATGGCTATTATTTAGGTGTTCATGCTCCATCGTCGTCCTCATTGTCACTGTCCACCATATCAGAAGGGAGTTCAAATGAGCACATATTTTCTTTTTTTATTAAAAAAATCCCCAAATCCGCCTGCGGTCTGATTACTGGAAGATGTACGCGGCTGTCTAAAAATGTTGCAATTAGTTAGCACGTGTAGGAACGTAAGAAATTTTATATTAAAAGTTACAAGCGAAAGAATTGTGACACGATCGAAGCATGCGTAGATTCATGGACTAAGCCATACATTACGCACCATTACGCTTTACTTTACTGCGCTTTTAGCTGGATTAACTAACTTCGGGCATACCTCTTTCGTTTATATATTCATTACGACATGATGTTATGTCTACAGGTCAAAGGACCTACGCTGTAACAAAAAATGGCATCTCAGACGGCGATAAACTAGAAATGTCGTGAACGACTAGCTACCAAATACTGTACATCTTTTCTTTTTTGGCATTGACTTACAAATAAATGGACGACGGGTCTAATACAAAAACCACGAAAAAAATGTCCCAAGTCAACCTATTCGAAATTTAAATTGTAATGTCATCGCAGTATCGCGCTGTCAGTCGAACAAATGAAGACTAAAGCGGAGTTTGGCGCTCTGTATACTATTTTAGCGCCTTACAAGTGCGGACACTTTTTAGCGCGGACGTCAATGTTTTTTGGTTTACATTTTTGTAAATCCTAATGGAACTACATAGCCCTATAGAGTATAGAGCATAATAAACTAAAAATGTCTGAGAATAAATTATTTGAAATAGATCTAGCAAAGGAACAGAAAACCAGTTTATTTCCTACAAATACGTCGTAAAGTGTGATATAGGTACCTTTCCGGCAGCGCTCGCGCACTTTCTTGTAGTTCTTGCTCATGAAGGCTTCCCAATTTTCGAGCATTCTCAACCATTTCTGCTCACGTTTCAGGATTGTGCTCGGTGACACAGTCCGTTTGCTGCAACAACATAAATGGTGGCTTATTACATTTTATAATTGATGTCATACTCATACGTGAATACGTAAACTACCCGAAGGGGAAAGTGACCGCTGGAGCAAGGAAACAAACTTGAGAATTTGAAGGGAGTCAAAAAATACATACGTGAATAAGCTTCTTGTCAATCAAGCATGCATTATCCCATTTATCGGTCGATTATGCCAAAATGTAACAAATGGGTAAAATACATATTTAAACGGTTTTAGAATGTTATTGAATCAACCCGTGACGAAGGTGAGTCAACCCGTGACCATGGAGCGTGTAATCGTTTTGTAAAACAGAAAGAAAAAATATCGTGGTTTGAAACCTATAATTAGTTCTTTTTTTATAATACCAAATGACGGGACGGACAAGTTGTGCGCTGATGTTAAGCGACACGCTTGTCTATAGCAGATGCAGTGTCAATCAGGGCTTTAAACCGCAAAGATCTGAAGGACACTGCAACTGCGCCTGTCACGCAGAAACATAAGTTGACTAGTCTCATCTCTCTGTAATTTCATTCGCACCCTTGCCCTTCAAAACTGGAATGCAGTAGTTCACACATTACTGCTTGGCGGCAGAAATAGGTAAGGCGGAAATTTTAAAAAATACTATTCTTCTTAACAAAAATTACATTTAAATTTTTATTGAATTGAGATTCAATTATGTTCTATGTGAAATTACTACACTAGTTTGTCATAATTATTAATGCTAAACAGTCGTTGAAAAAACCAAATAAGTACAAAGACACGACAACAAAATTCGTGATATGCGCTGCGCTGGTTCGTTCCGTGGCTTAGTTGGTATAGCGTCTGGCACGGTATGCTAGAAGACGTCTGTTCGAATCCGGCCGGATCGAAGGAATTTTTTTCTGAGTATCCGATCTTTGTACTAATAATTATAAAACATTACATTTTTATACATATATTTTGATACTTGTGTAATGCGCAAGCCACATCGCGAACGTAGCTAAACTAACGTACCCGGGACATCTGTTAATACTTCGGTTTACACCTCGAACTAAGTTAACCGAGCTAACGAAACTAACCCAATGATCCCGCTAGCTACGTAAAATATGTCGCTCTTCTACCACCGTTCAACCCCACGCTTAGCTTTGCATGCAACTACGTGAGCTAAGTTAGCTAGCTTCGTTTGCGGTGTAGCCTGTGGTAAGAATGGTAATTTTGTTTATCTCTCAAAGACACTCTGAGGTCTTAATTGCCTTATCTGGATGTTTTTGCAGGATAACCATTTGATTAACATCAGTTATATTACCCACCGAAAAGCAAAATTCCGTATGACATAAAACTGTGAAAGTAGCTAAAGTAAACCAATCTAGTGGTTTTTACGTCTTAAAGGTATCGGCTTTTTAATCCCGTACACTGCAGTAGTGACCCATTGCGATAGCTTACTTTTGGGCCCCAGTGCAATTTAGCGTCTAAAGTTACATCTAAAAATACAACTCTTTACATAAGACAGCCAAAAGGGTTACTTTAACACAAACGAATGTTTTATAGCAAAAAAAATGGCTTTCGTAAATTTGTAGAATTTGTGAATTAATTTTTAACGTCTGTGTATCATGAATTCACGGGTGAATCATAACTTGTTCATTACTGCAAAGTGTGTGTTTTTCCTATGACTAAATCCAGATAGCATATTTTTAATGCTATATTTACCTTCCAAATTGTCCGCATTTTTAGTTAATTAGACGAATTGGTCGCTAACTGTAACTGAAGAGCTCCTTGTGAAAGAGTTCGTCCAGTTAGTACTGTCACCGTTCCTATTTCACCCGGCAAGCAATGTGAACATTACTGCGTTCCAGTTTTGAAGGGTGTTGGTAAAATTACAGGCACATGTGACTTATAAACTTTGTCTCATGTAGTGTCACATCCACTTACCATCAGACGCACAAGTTGTTCGTCTCGTCACTTGGCAACATAAAAAATCTTTAGCATGGGCTAGAGATTGTGTATGCAGTGATATTGGTTTTTTAAATAATTATGAAATTACTTTGCAGATGTGTGCAGTTTTCCTCAGGATATTTTCCTTCGCCGAAAAGATCAATGTGGTAAATTTTTCAATTAAATTTTGTACAAAAGCTCCGAAAACACATGAAAGGCCGTAAGTCAAACCATTATGGTACCACGGCTTTTTTTAACGGTAAATATTAAACAAATATCGAAAATTAATTAATTACGATTAGCATTCAAAATGAGACGTAAGTAGATGTGAAAATAGAATTAATATATTTGTTTAAGGCAAATAATTGTAGACCATGGACTAAATAAATAAATGAAAATGATATCAAGCGGGTATCGTACCAAAGCGGTTGTCTCGAACGCAGCGCACACACTATGAACTATATTTACATTATAAACTAAGATAACATTATACAAATATCAAACGAAATTAAGCAAATAATACACATCTTTAAAAAAGTAGTTAAAGACTAAAAAAGTTAAAAAATTCAAATACATAGACAAAAATTCGTAAGGTCCGTTGGTTCGTATCGTGGCTTAGTTGGCATAGCGTCGAGAGAGTAAGACGCTGGTTCGAATCCAGCCGGATCGAAGTAATTTTATCTCAGTGTTCGATCTTTGTATTAATTATTATAAATTACACCTTTTCAAAATAATGACCTTCATTTAAATCCTATAAAGTTGACTATTACTAACGTAAAATGGTACAAATTAGATAGATTAAACGTTTAATATCTTCCCACAAGCACACGATAGAATGTGAAATAATAAAGGAAGAAAATTCACAAATCAGAAATTAAATTTCCTACGTCTCTTGGCTTGTTACATGTATAAGTAACTAAGTAAATAACTAAATGTCTCAGTTTCAGATTAATTATCTTGACATTTTATCTGATATACAGGATTATTTATAAAAGACTAACAACCTCGCAGAATAATATTACAAACATCATACGTAAGAACTTTTTACAAAACGTGGTAAATTTATCAAAAAGAAACTTAAATTTTTGTTGTACTATCTGACACTTTTTAGATCTGCATTTGGTAGTACATTCAAGCGTGCGAGCGTCCTCCCCGACGACTCCCGCTTTCTTTTGTTACCGTACAGAGTTATACCGTTTAGAGGGATCTATTTAAAAAAAAATATTTTTGTACTAAATAAAATGTGACGAATTATTAAAAGTCACGGAATAAAATAGAGTTGTTGTTAATTATGTTAGTAATACAGTCTTGTTAGTATATTACAAAATAACCCTGTATTCCGATGATAATACGGAAAACGAATTCCAAATTCAATCTCGCATGTTCGTCCGAATTTAATGAACTGAGTAATAACAATTGGTCGTACACAAAAGGAAAACCCAAGAAAGAAAAGTGAAATGTAATTACATCCGATGGATAGACCAGGGGGACAGTGGTTTTCATTTGAAAGGTCGAAATGTGTACATAGGACTACAATTTCTACGTACATTCGTAAAAGCTTAATAGCAACACCTCTCACTGACGGTGCGGAAAAACATCGTAATAATAATAATAATAATAAATAACGCACACACTCAACATAGCCCCGCACTAGGGAAACCCTGTGTCGCGGGTGCCATGGACACACATATAGACAGCCACAAATTACACCCAAACTCACGAGAGAAATAAATGTAGGCCATACAAACATTTCTCCCGGCCCGGGAATCGAACCTGGGACCTCTGCGTGGCAGTCCGGCATGGTAACCGTTCGGCCACGGAGGCAGTTAAATGAAACCTGCTCCTTACGAAAGAATTCAACATAGCAGCCTATGCCTTGACCCTTTCTTTAGTGGATACCCGCGAGACGTATAATGGATTGATATGATCGTGTATGGAGTACTGCTGCCACCTTTGGGACGGCTCTGCCCATTACCAGTTAGCTGCCTTGGACTCGGTGGAGCGAAAAGCAAAGACACTTTATTAACAACAACTATCTTGTGGAGTCGAAGCTACAAAATCTCGACCATTGCAGAAAAGTAGCCTGCTTGTCGGTTTTCTATCCGATACATTTCGGGGAGTGTGCGCAGGAACTTTTCAATTTAGTTCCACCCTCACCGTTCCTTCGGTCGACTAGAAGGTCAGGAGCACTCCATTCTTATGTCGTTGATATTCCACCTATTCGCACTAAGCACTTTGCTTCCTCCTTTCTGATGCGTACGGCAAAGAAATGGAATGCTCTACCGGTATCTTTTTTTTCCAAAAAGTACAATTTGGAGCTATTCAAGGCTACAGTGTATAAGCAGTTTTTAGGCAAACGCGTCCCGTTGTCGGTCACATCGTCGCTTAACATCAGGTGAGATAGTGCACGAAAGGAGCCTCTCCGCACGACGTAACATTCCTTTCCGGGCAAGAATCGACGAGTATATTACGCCAGTTACTCCGATCATCAAATACTTTCATGACGATGGTACATAATATATAATTTGTAAAATAGTGTATGCCATCAATACGATAAGAAAAATGGATTGATGATTTCAAAACTTCTATGCACACATACAATGTATGCATACGGCAAAAGAGTTAATAAATTTTGATAATTTTATTATTTGTGATAGTATATAGTGATTTTAATATATAAATTTGATTAATGTTTTAATAAAGATTCTTTATCTTGACACAGACAAATTCGTGAGGTCTGCTGATTCGTTCTGTAGGTCAGTTGTGAAAGCGGTTAGCCCAGGTCTGACAAACAGGTGCTAGTTCCTCCTAGCTCCTTATGAAAGAGTTCGTCCAGGGAAGCACTGCCACCTTACCTACTTTTGTCGCCAAGCAGTCATGTGAGAATTACTGGCGGTTTAGAAGGGTAAGGGTACTGGTGAAATTACAAGCATATGAAACTTGTCAACTTATGCCTCAGCGTGACGGGCGTAATGAATTTTAACAGAACATTCCTAAAATGTTGTTTAAATAGTTTTGCACTTCTTTATTTAGTATGATTTACCTCAAAATGTCGGGTTTTTCCCTGTCCTCCGATCAGTA